ACAGTGTATACATGTCCTCTTTTCTCTGCAGCCTCACCAAAATCTGTTATTTTTTAACTTTTTAATAATATCCATTCTGACTGGTGTGAGATGGTATCTCATTGTGGTTTTGATTTACATTTTTCTGATGATTAGTGATGGGGAGCATTTTTTCATGCTTGTTGGCCATGTGTAAGAAGTGTTTGTTCATGTGCTTTTCCCACTTTTTAATGGGATTATTTGTTTATTGCTTGTTGATTTGTTTGTTTCTTATAAATTCTTGATATTAAATGCTAGTTAGATGCCAGTTTGTGAATATTTTCTCCAATTGTATAGGTTGTATGTTTACTTCCTTGATAGTTTCTCTTGCTGTGCAGAAGCTCTTTCATTTAATTAGGGCCCCTTATCAATTTTGTTTTTGTTGCAATTGCTTTTGGGAACTTAGCCATAAGTTTTTTGCCAAGGCCTACATGGAAAACAATATTTCCTAGGTTTTCATCTAAGATTTTTATAATTTGATGGCTTACATTTAAGTCTTCAATCCATCTTAATTTTTGTATATGGTGATAGGTAGTGGTCCAGTTTCATTCTTCTGTAAATGGATGCCAGTTATTCCAGTATCATCTATTGAATAGGGAATATTTTCCCCATTGCATATTTTTTGTCAAGTTTGTTGAAGATCAGATAATGCAGCTTTATTTCTGAGTTCTCTATTCTGTCCTATTGGTCTGTCTGTTTTTGTACCAGTACCATGCTGTTTTGGTTACTGTAGCCTTGTAGTATAGTTTTAAGTCAGGGAATGTGATGCTTCTGGCTTTGTTCCTTTTGCTTAAGATGGCTTTGGCTATTTGGGTCCTTTTGGGTTCCTTATGAATATTAGAAGAGTTTTGTCTAATTCTGTGAAAATTGATCTTGGTAGTTTGATAGGAATAATAGTAAATCTATGAATTGCTTTGGGCAGTATGGCAATTTTAATGATCTTGAGTCTTCCAATCCATGAGCATGGGTTGTTTTTTCATTTATTTATGTCATCTTTAATTTCTTTCAGCAGTGTTTTTTTAGTTCTCCTTGTGGAGATCTTTCACTTTCTTTAGATATATTACTAGGTTTTTCATTTTTGGGTTTGTGGCTATTATAAATGAGTGTGTGTTCTTGATTTGGCTGTCAGACAGAATGTTATTGGCATAAGAAATATTATTAATTTTTGTATGTTGATTTTGTATCCTGAAACTTTGCTAAAATTTGGTTATCATTTCCAGGAGCCTTTTGGCAGAGTCTTTAGGGTTTACCAGGTATAGAATCATATTGTCAATTAAGAGAGATAGTTTGACTTCTTCATTTCCTATTTGGATGCCTTTTATTTCTTTCTCTTACCTTTTTGCTCTGACTAGGACTGCCAGCACTATGTTGAATGCAAACGGTGAGAATGGGCATCTTTATCTTGTTGCAGTTCTCAAGAAGAATGGTTACAACTTTTGCCTGTTCAGTATAATGTTGATTGTGGGTGTGTCATAGGTGGTTCTTATTATTTTGAATGTTCCTTTGATGCTTTGTTCATTGAAGGTTTTTATCGTGAAGGGATGTTAAATTTTATCAAAGCCTTTTCTGCATCTATTGCAATGATCGTATGATTTTTAAAAATTCTTTTTATGTGGTGAATCACATTTATTGATTTGCATATGTTGAACTGAGCTTGCATCCTAAGAATAAAGCCTGCTTGATCATGGTGAATTAACTTTTTGATGTTCTTATTTTTTAGTTAAGTTATTTTGAAACCTTTGCTACGAGCTTTTAGACATTTTTGTTCTGCTATTTCCGATATATAAAATAAGTGATCGTTTATTACATATGATTAAATCGAGCCATTTATCTAAATTTACAGTATCAATGTACTTTACTAGGACATATGCTAATGGAATTTTCAGTTTTTCCAATATCTAAATTCACTGATGAATACTGCAACAATGCTATATACAGTTAAAGCTCTGATTTTTTTTGGTCATTTGGATTTATTTTAATCTTAAGATATTTCTTGACACTCTTAGCCAAGCTTATTCTTTAAATTCAAAACATTATCAGCACTGGGAATGTTTCTTTTGTTAAGATAACATCATTTAGGAGGATATAAATAAACCTTGCATTTGGAGGGGAATGGGTTTTAGACTTTTAAAAATAGTCAGGTGGGGCCTGGAGTTCCTTAGCAGCACAAAGTCCCCGAGACTGCCCACATGAGCAGCATGTTTATAGTAGGAAATGCCAAATTTTAGCTTGTAGTTTGGAGATCGCTTTTTGACATGCGGCATCTTTCTTTTCTAAAATTGTAGATTTTCCTTTAATCCCCATGTCCTACTGAACTTTTTTCATTCAGATTTAAACACTTTTAAAATTTGCATTTATATATGTAATTACACGAGTAATAAGTATCAGAACAATTGAAATAAGATGAAAGCACATAAGTAAAAAGCACATGTCCTCTTTAATCACATTTCCTTCTTCTTACTTCATTCCTAAATTTGGTGTGGAGGTTTAGTTTTCTTGTTTACATATATGGGAACATTTTATTCATAGTCTAATATAGTTTGAGTATATGTCCCCAAGAAATCTCATATTGAATTGTAATCCCCAGTGTTGGAGGTGGGGCCTGGTGGGAGGTATTTGGGTCATGGGAGTGGATCTCATGGCTTGGTGCTGTCCTCACAATAGCAAATGAGTTCACGAGAGACCTGGTCATTTAAAAGTGTGTGGCACTTCCCTCCCAGTCTCGCTCTGTAGCTCCTGCTTTAGCCATGTGACATGCCTGCTCCTACTTTGCCTTCCACCATGAGTAAAAGCTCCCTGAGGCCTCCCCAGAAGCCAACCACATCCTGGCTTCATACTTGTATAGCTTGTAGAACTGTGTTCCAATTACATCTTTTTATAAATTACCCAGTTTCAGGTGTTTCTTTATAGCAATGCAAGAACAGCCTAATACATATTCTGCTGACTTGATTTTTTTTTTTTTGTACTTATTTTCTTCACGTTTTTGGAAAATTTTACAAATCTCTATTATAAATAGAATTTCAATCTTTATTAAGATTGTTATGAACAATGATGCAATAGATATCCCTACACATATATTTGTGTACATGAGTGATACTGTTTTGTGAGTGAAATGTATTCCTAGAAGTATAATTGCTGGGCCAAAAATATGTATATTGTAAGTATTAAAAGATGTTGCCAGATCACTTTCATATAATTCCATCGATACCTATTCTAAAACAACATTTTATCAATTTTTAAAAATTGTGCAATCTACTACCCAAAACTTGATATTTTATATATATTTTTTGAATTTCTTCTTTTAAATTTTAAGTATATTTGTATATTTTAAGTATATTTGTCTATTTTTAAATTTATAAATTATTTGTATTTTTTCTGATAAATCTTTGCTTGGAAATTTTGCCCACTTGTATTAGATTTATAAAAGCTCTTTACATATTATAGAAATATATCATTTATTTGTTACAAGCCATATATATGTTAAAAATAATTTTTCAAAATTTGTTGCTGATACTTTCCCATGACACTCACTGGAAAGAAGTTTTAAATTTGTGTATAATGAAATCAGCTACTTTTTTCTTATGACTGTTGAAGGTTATTGGAAGAGCTCTTCCAACACAGAATTATATTTTAAAATATTTTTCTTGTTCAACTCCCACTTATGAGTGAGAACATGCAGTGTTTTGTTTTCTGTTCCTGTGTTAGTTTGCTGAGAATGATGGCTTCTAGTTTCATCCATGTCCCTGCAAATACATGAGCTCATTCTTTTTTTTTATGGCTGCATAATATGCCATGGTATATACGTGCCACATATTCTTTATCCAGTCTATCTTGACACAGAGTGGGGAACATCACACAACAAGGCCTGTCGGGGGTGGGGAGCAAGGGGAGGGAGAGCATTAGAACAAATACCTAATGCATGTGGAGCTTAAAACCTAGATGATGGGTTGATGGGTGCAGCAAACCACCATGGCACATGTATGCCTATGTAACAAACCTGCACATTCTTCACATGTATCCCAGAACTTAAAATTTAAAAAAAATCAAAAAAAGTTTTCCTGTATTGCTTCTAGTTACTTTTTTAGATTTGTTTTTGATATTTAGATATTTAATCTATTTGGAATTTGTTTTTGAAAATTATATGAAGTAAATATCTAACTTAGTTTTTTCCAAATATACAGCTAATTGCCTCAACATCTCTAATTTCTCCTATTTTAAAAAATACTAAGCATATAGTTATATTTACATATCTTTACATACATATACTATATAGTTTTATATATATATTAAATATATATCAAATAAATATCCATGCTTACCTATGTATATAGTATATGTTTATATAACATACAGATGTATATTTATGTACTTTTGTTTCATTGATATATTGTACTTTTTATGCCACTAATACACTATTTTAATTATTATATTCTAGAGTATAGTTTAATATAATAAAAACAAATCTCTATTTATTATCCTTTTTTGATATTTTTATACATTTAATTTTCCACATAATTCAGAATTGCAAGATTTTTAATGCATCACATTAAAAAATAGATCTTATTAAGATTCATTAAGAAATCTAATTGAGATTTTTGTTTGAATTGAATTCACAAGTCAATTTTGGAATAACTTATGTCTTTGTAATACTGAGTCTTCTCAACCAGAAAATCAGAAAGTAAAAAAGCAACAGATGTTGGCAATGCTGTGAAGAAAAGGGAATTCTTATACACTGTTGGTAGACATGTAAATTAGTTGAGCCACAGTGGAAAGCAGTTTGGAGATTTCTCGAAGAACTTAAACAGAACTACCATTTGGCCCAGAAATTACTGGGTGTATGTCCAAAGGAAAATAAATCACTCTACTAAAAAGACACATGTACTGTATGCTCATTGCAGCATTATTCACAGTAGCAAAGACATGGTATCAACCTAAGTGCCCATCAGTGGTGGATTGGATAAAGAAAATGTGGTACATATACAGCATGGAACACTACACAGCCATAAAAATGAATGAAATCATGTCCTTTGCAGCAACATGGATGCAGCTGGAGTGTCTTATCCTAAGCCAACTCATGCAGGAACAGAAGACCAAATACTGCAAGTTCTCACTTATAAGTGGGAGCCAAATGTTGGGTATTCACGGACATAAAAATGGAACAATAGACACAGGGCACACACTTTATTAGTAAAGGGGAAGGGAGTAGGACAAGGTTTGAAAAACTACCTGTTAGGTAATATGCTTACTACCTGGGTGACGAGATCATTCACATCCTAAACCTCAGGATTAAGCAATATACCCATGTAACGAATCTACACCTGTAGTCCCTAAACCTAACGAAAAAGTTGAAATTATTAAAAAAAAAAAAATCAGCATGATTCTCTACTGATTCAAATAATAATGTATGTCCATCATTTCTTATTAATTTTATTCTTAGGTTTATTGCCTAGAACTAGGTTGGCTGAAAGCAAAAGAAAATCAAAATGACAGTCACTCAAATATGAAAGACATTTAGTTCTCTCTTACATGACAGTATCTCACAAACAGCTAGTATGATAGTTCTGTCACACAGTCTTCAGGGTCCCAGGTGCCTTCTATATTTTCTTACTGTCTCTTCAGGTGTCAATTCTGGTAATTAAGATTTGATATAACTGCAAGAGTGGTGGCTCTCATATCCCCATAAGTAAGAAAGAGGCAAGGAGAACATCCAGGTGTCTTACAGGGAAAGCTTTTAGAAATGAATACAGAATTATTCCACTTATATCTTCCTTATATCCCTTTGTTCAGAATAAGGTGCTACATGGCCATATCTAGTAGCAAGAGAACCTGAGAAATATTGCCTTTATTTTGGGAAGCTATGAGTCAGCAAAAACTGACTAATATTCTATTAGCATGGGAGAAGACAAAAAAGGACATTATGGCACAGCTAGCGTCTTCACCACAGTAGACACTTTTTAGTTTGTGTTGCTATTACTAACACATATTTTTCACATATATTTTTCTCCCATACCTTCCCTTATAATTATATAAAGTACAACTCTTTTATAACTTGAGAAATAATGCCCTCTAAATTTCCAAAAAGTAGGATTGTGTCATTGTGCAAAAAGACCAAGATGACCAAGGTGAGCCTGTATAGTAGCTAACTGAGCTTTGGAGTCAGACCATATGATTCAAATCCACTTTGGTGCTGTCTGGGAACAGTTCTGCCTTCTGTGCCTGGTTGGGTTTTCCAGAATGTCTTATTTTCAGGAATACTCAGGTTAAATGGAAGCCCCCCCCACTTTTTTTTTTTTTTTTTTTTTTTGGTCTTATCAGAGAAAATTAGGCTGCCGGAATCCTGAGAACAGAGGAAGCCATCCTTACCCTCTCCTGCTCCAAGTTTTCATTGCCTGGAGGATCCTATTTAGCATCGTTCTTTTTTCCTCTTATTTCTTGCCCACAGCTAGAAGTTCAGCCTACCTCTCATTTAGAACTAGGGCTCTGAACATGAAGGGAATTATCTGTGTTAGGTACAAATTCCCATCAGTGGTGGGTACATTATGGTGGAGATTTTGGTAACAAATACATATTGTGATAAAAGTAAATAAAAAGATAAATATAAAAAGTAAGCCTACATCACATATAACTCCCTATGTTGAAATAAGTATTATTTTTTTTCTCCCCATATCCCTTTTTTATTTCTTACCTTTTCTTTTTCTGTAAACTCACAAGATGACTGTGAGATGTAAGGTAGATTGATTCGCACAGCTTTACTGTTAAATCACCCGTTCTCCTACCTGGAGTGTTCAAACCCTTCCCACATCATTAATCTCAACTGCTGAACTGATGGGAATTGAACTCTACAAACAGGTTGTCGGCCAAAGGAGATGTCCCCAGGCAAATACTTATGTTATTTTTACCTAGTAAACCACGTTTTCTTTTTTAAGAAAACAAAATCAAAATAAAAACAACAATCTGTTTTCCCCATAGATGGATAAAATGACCCAAAATGTGTTGAAATTGAAATGGAAATGAATCACCTTTGGACACCTTCAGGACTTGCAACATCTAAACTAATAACTAAGGAAAAATGTATGAAGTAGTAGATAAAAGACTCAATTATACCTGTGGCGTGTGACTATTTCTGCCTGGAGTTAGACAAAACAATTTGTGTCACAGTCCCAGAGTTGTCTTCAACTAAGGCAGTGTAACGTAGTGGTCAAAATGATGGGCTCAGTGTCACGCAGACTTGGTTTGTAATCTCACCTTTGCTTGTTACAATCATGGCTGTGTTATTTCTTCCTGCTAAGGTTCAGCTTTCTTATCTTTTGACTGAAAACAACACCTTCCTGTGAGTCTTGTTGTAAGCATTAAATGAAATAATTTGGGCAAAGATTTTAGACTATAGTGAAATAATAAATATTAGCTATAACTTCTACTGGTACTAATACTACTACTATATTTTTATTATTACTATTAATATTTGCACTCATACTATGTGAAGATGCTCATCTAAATGCTGTGGGCCCCAAGGTGTGGAGGGTAGGATGTTAACCCTTAATATGCTTACAGTCTAGTTTGGAAGAATACACTTAAGTCATAATTATGTTTATGGATAAAAGTATGATAGTTCTTATTAAGACAGAAATCATTTTGTTTTTCTAATAATGAACTCCAATAAATTATACTGCCTTGATTCATTTGCAGTGTGATGCTGCCATTTATCCCATAGTAAATGGTATCTATTCTCATAGTCCTTGAATCTGAGTGGCCTTGAGACTTGCTTTGGCAAAATGATGTGACTTGTGTGACTTGCAAGCCTAGGCCTTAAGAATTTTTGCTGCTTCCACTTTCATTCTCTTGGAACATTGCTGAAATTACATGAAGAATCTTTTTCTAGCTTCCTGGAGGATGAGAGACCATATGGAAGAGAACCAAAACATTCATTCAGGCAACATTCAGTGCCAACTTCCAGGTGCATAGTTGAGGCCATCTTGGATTATCCAGGCCCAGCTGAGCCATCAGATGAATGCAGCCACATGAGTGATCTTAGGAGAAATCAGCAGAGAAACCACTCAGCAGAGCTCAAGCCCGATGCTCATGATCAAGTAAATGGTTCTTGTTTAAAGCCACTATGTTTTGGGATGGTTTGTTATGCAGCAATAGTTAACTGATCCAGTTTTATATGTGATTTTCCTCTACAAATGTCTTTCACTTAAACAGTTTGAAGGCCCAGAGTTGTGCATATTTCTTTAAGGCACATATGCTGGATCCAGAAACTAAACATTTCAGCTTATGCTCGCTAAGTTGACATTCAAATAGAGAGCTTTTTTTTTTTTTTAAATTTTTGAAAAAAAGGGAAGTGGTAGCATACAGACAGTAAACAATATGATCTAAGAAAGAAAAAAGCAAAGTTATATTTTCTGTAGGTTTCTTCTTGAAATCCAATGAGAAAAATACATTGATATGTAAAAGTAAAGTAGAAACTGTGGTAAAATTTTATTAGTTAAAATTCTGAAAGGCATTTTCCCTCAGCATGGCACCTGAAACATTTGAGGTATCAGGAGAAATTGGAATCTGAGCAGAGAATGGCTTTACCATGATTGGTCTTGGGGAATGTCAACCACCTCTGCTCTGCAAATGACATGAAATCAAGAGTAAGCCCAGGGTAAATGCAGGAACTTAGGGAACAGCCCAGTGAAAATCCATGTTCTTGAAAACAAGAATGCAAGAAAACAAGAAAGATGAAAATGTAAGAATTGTAAAGGGTCAAGAATTTTTAGAAAGAGTAAAAGTGGGTGTTTAAAATAATTGTGATTTAGCTTGAAGCTGGAAGGGAGGGAGGGAAGGAGGAAGGGAAGGAGGGAGGAAGAAAGGAAGGAAGGAAGGAAGGAAGGAAGGAATGAAGGAAGGAAGGAAGAAGGGAGGGAAGGAGAAGGAAGAAAGGAAGGTAAAAAAGAGAAAGTTCCTGGGGTCAAACTGGGACTGTTCCAAAAGTCTGAACCAGAACGTACAAAGGCCATGTTAGCTGAGTAGTTAAACTTTCTTATAGTCCACGATAAGAAAAGCCCTTGAGAGAAAAACAGGAAGGGGTTTCTTCCAGATTCGAGAATCCTTGGGTATCGTCTCACAGATGGTGTACTATGACATTTGTGCCACTGGACATTGAATGAGCCATTCTAGAAGGTAAAGATTTCTCTTGTTAACCACATCTATGCTGGCTTTGTGATGGTATACTCCAAGAATTAATATTACATTTAGTAGTTCTTAACATTTTATCCATTTTCTTTCAGCAATAAGATGATTTTGCTACTTCTCAGGTAATTAAATAGAATGTACTAACTGGGGTCATTTAAAATCTTTTTATAAATAATTCAAGATTAGAAGAACACTTAAATACACTCATTTTATAAAAACATTTAAACAGAATATTAGCATTAAAAGTGATTGAGAAATTAAATCAGTCTTGATACTTATGTTTGAGTTGTAATTATTTTCTTTCTTTTTATTTTTAGTCTATCATTGATTTATCATGTAACTTATAAAAATTGACAGGCATTAACTGGACTATAAGTAACGAAATAATGAAATAATGTGAAACAAGAATTATTTGCTTACTAGTTTGGAATTAGCTTGATGTAACTGCTACATGAATATCAGAATTTTAAAATTACTTCAAGGAAAGTTTTATGCCAATAAATAACCATATAGATTTATTTTATTATAACAGCTTATATTCCTTGAATATGAAACAGTTCTTTCTTTTTAAAATAATTTCTTTCCTATATGGTAGTAAAGTAAGAACTTGATGAATATATTAACCCTTCCAGAATTCTATAGTGTTATATTGTAGTAAAGTAACTGATATATGACCTGTGCCTAAATAGTTGTTGACAGTTGTATGTCATTATTTGTACCCTACAAACATGGTATCAAATTTGTCAAGATTCATCTTAGGTTACTAGTAAATTTCTAGTTTTCAGACAATTTTATTAGGTATATTTTTTCCTTTTTAACGATGAAGTCATTGAGGATATAGCATTGAACAAGTCACTCATGATCACAGACACTATAAATGGTATTTGGACCCCACATATTATTCTGTAACACCCATCTCAAGAGCAAAAGGATATGGACATTTTGATATGCTGTCGAAGTTGTTTATGAGTTCAACCATAAAATGCAAGAATTTCCAACAAATAGTCTCCAAATAATGTCAGTGGGGTGAGTATATCTGGAATGAGATATTTAGCATCTGAGAATACTATTAGTTATATGTTAACATATGTGAGAGGCACACCCTTGTTCTCTCTGACAACTATCTGCCAGTTTCCCAGGTAATGCTACTGTGAGTTTTGCATACTGTATTTTAGAACATTTTCATCTAATGTCTTCTACAGAGAGTTTTGAGGTAATGTTGAATATATTCTATGTCCGAAGGCATCCTGAAGGAAGTGACATTTGAATTGAAGTCCGAATAAAGTCAAGGAGCAGATACCTAAAGAGAGAACATTCCAGGAAGAGGAAACCTCCAGTGCAAAGGCTTTGAGATAAGGGTATGCTTGTTGATGACAGAAATAGCCAGAGGACAAGGTAGCTGGAATTAGTGAATCAGAGTGAAGGTGATAAGTGATGCAGATGGAGAGTTAGTCTAGGCTAGCCCAAGTAATTGTAGAACTCTGTACATTTAGAAAAAAGACTTTGGATATTTTTCTAAGTGTCATGGGAAGATCCAGAAGGGTATTAAGCAGAGAATAATTATCTTCAATGTCTTAAAGGGATTGCTATCATTGCTCCATGAAGAAATGACCAGAGTACAAGCAGGAAACCATTTAGCATGCTGTGACCTTGTTCTAGGGAATGATGGTGGTGTGGAATGGGGCAATAACAGAGGAGGAAACCAGAAGTGGTAGAATTTATGTGCTGCTTTAACAAAACTTATTTTTTCTTTTTAATTTTTGTGGGTTAATGGGTACAAAGAAATAGAAAGAATGAATAAGACCTACTATTTGATAACAAAACTTCTTGATGGACTTAACGTGGGATGTGATATATAGTGAGACACTAAGAACAATGTGCACACATGCCAGTGCTCTTTACTAAAATGGGTAAGCCTAAGGGAGGAATGGTTGTAATGATTTTGTTTAAAGAAGCTCACTCAAGTGAAGACCTTTGCATATAGGTCTGAAGTTTATGGGAGAAGTTGAGTCTGAAGTAAAATTTTAATCTTCAGTGTAAAGATGGTATTTAAAGCCAGTGAAACTGGATGGGGTCATCTAAGGAGTTAACAGAGATAAAGACAAGTTACTAGGCGTAAGTCCCAGGGTCCTTCCATATTTATACGTTGGGGAAGGAATGGCATTCATCACAGGAGATAGAGAATGGTCTGGTATGAGAAAAACTAGGGAAGTGTGGTGCTCCAGAAACCAATGACCAACTGAGGCAATGCAAGAAAAAGCAAATGAATGTCTAGAAGGTTCCAGGAAGTCAAATAATATGAAGACATGAAAAATGAAACATTAGAAGTAATGTGGAGGTCATTGATTAACTCGGCAAGAGCTGTTTTAGTAAAGTGGCTGAGATGAAATCCTGGATAGAAGTGAGTTCCAGACAGAGCCAGTGAGTGTGAAAATAGAATCAGGAAGTGTGGGCAATTGAAGTTTTTCTTTAAAAGAGAATAGAAAAATAAGGAAATGATCTCAAAAGAGTATTTTTTAAGGTGGAAGAAGCAACAGCATATTTGTGTGCTTACAACAAGATCCAGTAAAGAGAGAATACTCGAAGAGGGAATGACCTTGGCAGGAGGAGAAATGGGATCTAAGGTGCAAGTGGAGGTGATATCTTAGTAAAAATAGGTTTACTTTGATATATTTTGTGAAGTTGAAGATGCTATCTAATGAGAATGTCTTCATGTGCACGGAAAGTGGGAGAGGATATTCAGCGGTTCAGGAAAGAATAGAAGATAGGAAATAATTGCCTGAGGAAGTCAGAGAATGAGTTGACTAAGGAAATGTACTAGGATTATAGGCAGTAATAAAAGTTTACTTGGATTGGAATGGCCTGAAAAAGAAATGACAAATCATACACTTGAGCCATCAATAAACAAGTATATTCAGTATAGCAGGTGAGGAATCTGGCAGCTGTGGTGTCTTAGTGGCAATCATATTTAAGCTTGAGTAAATAGCTACATTAGTTTCCTCAGTAATTTTCTGATTTGGAGGATATCGGTCATCACCTGGGGATACAGACCTCAGAATCTTCCTTGTATGAACATAGATTGTCTATTACACTTGTTATCAGAATTCTAGCAAAGTCATTTGTGTCTAGAGTAAGACTCCATCTTAAGAAAGGAACATGGTATGCTTATTTTGACACTTAGGCAAAAACACAGTTTTCCAGACTGGATTCACAATAAGAAAAAAAGATGAAGAAGAGAAACCTGCTGTAAGTGGGGATTCGGATATCCGTGATCCATCCCAGCTCACAGAATACTGCATCATCTTGTCTCAGACCAGGAATTCTCATTAGGTGAGGCTTCCCAATGTATTCATTCTCCTGGTCACTTTAGACTCGATGTCTGCATGGGATTGGCCTCCAAATTAAAGGCAAAGAGAATGGCAAATAAATGGAGCAGAAGCAGCCAGGATTGAAAAGAGAGTTTTAAGGAAGTTTACTGATTTAAAAAGAGTTCAAAACTGTCAATTGAAAGTATACAGTTAGGAGAAAAAGTGAAATGTTTTCAGGACCAGAATTGAATTACAGTATTTGGTAAATAATTTGATGCTGTGTTTTCATTTGGCTAAGATTTAAAAAGAAAAAAAAAAATAAAGAAACATGGCCTTCATCTCCTGACAACTGAAAGTATGCACATCCATCTACAAAGATGATTTTTTGTTGTTGTTGAACTAAACTAAAGCACAAATTGATCATGTGTGTCCTCGGATAGAGGACATTAAGCAACAGAAGGTACAGTATCTTTAAGCACAGTTTTATAATCAGTAAGGAAAGCCTGTACAATTCATTTTTGTAATTAATCCTCCATAAAAATAGAGAGTTTGACACTGAATTAAAACCAAGCAAAGGCAATTCTGTGAGAAGTGGAGATAAAGTTGTATAGAAACTTTGTTCCTGATGGTCAAGCTCAAAGCAAGGTCAGAACATGGCACCTTTCTATTAAGTGAGTAATAAACACAACCATTATGAAACAGCTTTCAAATATCAAGTACCTTAAATGAGTTTTGTACAGATGTTGGAGCTCATTCAATTTCTGTTCAAATCCTATGGGAGCTACCGAGTACAGATATTTTACACTCCTGATTACATCAAAGCCTGGTGTTTTAGATGACTAACAGGACAGAAGCCCAACATGATCCAGTCATCCTATGATACCAGTCATGGCATGGCACCCCCCCAGGCATATAAGGTATTGGGCACTGCCATAGCTTTATCATGTGCCTTTATTTAGTCTAAGAGGTTGAGGTCCCCTTGATGCCACTCACACCAGTCCCTCAAAGGGGATAATAGAACTCATATAATTTCCTATTTCTTTGTCAATAAATGTAGTGCTGAATGCTGACCTCCCTACATAGTAGAATTTGATGATAAATTTCAACTCAGTATTTTATGACCTCTTAGATCAACATCATAAAATTGATTCACATTTTGTGAATTTCTCCTAAGAGAGGTTTTCCTATTTATTTTATACCAAGGAATAAAAATTGAAAACAAATTTCTTTTCCTGCGATATATATTATTCAGTCTTTATCCTGTGTAATTTACTACATAGAATGCCCAATTCCTATTTTAGTACCATTGAACTCGAATCTTGTTAAGATTATAACTGCTTTTATTGAATCATCTACTATCCTTCTTTTTCCATCAACATGATTTTGTGGCAAATTAATGATGATTATCTAAAGGAAGAAAAAAATTACTCTATTGAAAGCATTGAACACATATAGAGTCAGGTTAAGAAATAAGAATTTGTCCTAGAAATCTAGTAGCTTAAAATATAGTCACATTTTAAATTGTAAAGTACCATGTTTAAAAGTTATTTTCGTAAGTGTAGTATAGTTTTCATTTCAAAGAAACCTTAGACATAGCTTAGGTTGACTCAGATTTTTTGTTCTTTTTTAGATTATTATACTTTAAGTTCTGGAGTACATGTGCAGAATGTGTAGGATTGTTACATAGGTATACACGTGCCATGGTGGTTTCCTGCACCCATCAACCCATCATCTACACCAAGTATTTCTCCTAATGCTATCCCTCCCCTAGCCTCCAACCCCCGACAGGCCCCATTGTGTGATGTTCTCCTCCCTGTGTCCATGTGTTCTCATTGTTCAGCTCCCACTTATGAGTGAGAACATGCGGTGTTTGGTTTTCTGTTCTTGTGCTAGTTTGCTGAGAATGGTGGTTTCCATATTCATCCATGTCCCTGCAAAGGACATGAACTCATCCTTTTTCATGGCTGCATAGTATTTCATGGTATATACCAAATTGTAAAGACTCAGATATTTTACAGAATACACAGACACATAATTGATACTTTCTGGAGGTCTTAGAATCCGTTATTAGATAATTTTCATTAATTCTCTTTTAGAATTAGTATTTGAATTAAAACTAAATTCAAATAATTTAGGTACTGTTTAATACACTGCATATACTGCATGCTTATTTTGAAAATTGTGGGTTTTTTTGTACATTGTGGAATTAATTCATATTTAATGCTCAGTGGGACACTATTTGACTAATTATGGGTATATATGTTTGTATTTAATTTATTAGTTTTGAAGAAAAACTTTTCTTTTTATTCATTAATCACTGCAGTATATATTCTCTCTATTATATAAAATGAAGATGGTTTCTTTGTAAAGGTTGTAAAAATTCATTATTTGGTAATGTGACTGTAAGTTAAAGTTACAATCCTGCCAATGGTAAACTATAGAATCTTATAAAAGCAACGTAACTTTTCTTGGCCTTGGTTTCTTTAATCCAGACATGGTTGAAATGATTTATAAGAACCTTTTGAGTTTAATATCCTAAAATTCTATAAAATTATCAAGTCATGTCCAAAATTTTTTAATAAAAAATAGATAACAGGGTTATTACAGTTTTGTACAGGTTGTGTTGTTAATAGCTGTAATAATAAAGTATAAACATTTATCAGCTGAGATTTGTTTAATAACTGATGTGTTGACCACTAAAATGTTAGTATTATGTTTTCTCTTAAGTTGATTTAGATGATTTAATTTTTAAAATAAACCCTCTCATTACTTTTAAATCTACAGGTGGGATACCTTGCTATAAAGGGAGATCTGAAATAAGTGTGCTTCCAGGAGATATGTTCACCTTTAGAATTAAATACATAATCCAAATATCAGATGAAACATTCTTCTACTAGAAAATGACTTGTTTTGAAAAGAACAGTGTCTATAGAAATTAAGACTACCTGATGTAAATACTCACTATAAACAGATTATTAATGACAAACTAGCTATTGACACTTTCAGAGGCTTTTCATATGCACTTACTCATTTGATCTTCACACTTTAAGAGTAAAGAAAACAGTGCAGATATTACCATTCTGTTTTACAGATGAGAAAATGTGAGAGAGCCATTTTTTTAAGGCTCTACAAGTAATGCAGATGTATTAGTTACCCCTCCCTTGCCCCAATTCTCTAGTGTTTACATGGGCTCTATGTGTGTGAGGGGGAATGTTAAAAGCAGGAGATTCAGTCTTAGCATCACTGAAGCTATGTGAGTCATGTGTAGGTCTACAGTAGTCTGCAGTTGCTGGTCAATGATGGTAGCTTCATTCATCGTCCTCAAAGATGAGGTTGAAGGGCTTAGAGGTCTTTCAGTTTCATCTTGCTTAAAAACTTGCAAGAGGGGCCGGGTGTGGTGGCTCATGTGTGTAATCCCAGCACTTGGGCGTACAAGGCAGGTGGATCACCTGAGGTTGGGAGTTCGAGACCAGCCTGGCCAACATGGTGAAACCCCATCTCTATTAAAAATACAAAAATTAGCTGGGCATGATGGCGGGTGCCTGTAATCCCAGCTGCTCATGAGGCTGAGACAGGAGAATCACTTGAACCCGGGAGGCAGAGGATGCATTGAGCTAGGCCACAGAGTGAGACTTTATCTCAAAAAAAAAAAAAGAAAAAAAAGAAAAAGAAAAAAAAACACTTGCAAGAGGATCAGTGATCAAACACTATCTTTTTTGAGGACAGCTTTCCTGAGAACAAAATAGACAGTTCTTTTCTAGAAGGACCAGATTTATATTATACAAAAATATAAACCAATTATGTGGACTGTACTAATAAATTTCCCTGTTTTCTACAAAGGGAAAAGTTCTTATAATTAAAAGGCAAACATCCCTCTTACCTCTCCATCTTTTCCCTGGAACAAAGGTGCCCTTTTGAGTCTTGTTAACTCAAGCATTTCAGCCTCAATCTGGAGGCTGAGTGGAGCTTTTTTGATCACTCATTCTTGGTACTTAGGAGAACAGGGTGGATTCTTTTTTTAGAGCTGGTGGGCATTCTCATGCTAGCTCAGTATCCCGCACTCCCTCAGCAAGTGCTGCTGCTGCCCTCCTCACAAGTTTCCTAAAATCATGATGTCTTGCCAAGGTGATTATAAATTTTCTTTCAAAGTCTGCACAGGGTAGTATTGCACGGGGAAAACATTTATATATTAATGTTACTTGGACTGTTCTGTCTTGGAATGAATCATCTTGACCTCTTTGTTCCAAGGAGCATTCGAAAAATTACAGAGCCTGTTTATATTACAAGGACAAGCTGTATGTTTATATTACAAGGACCAGCTATGAATGAGTCTGAACCACCTAGTAAGGGAGGAGCCACTCTAATACCAATTCTTTTGATTCCAAACTTTCTGCTGATTAGGAATGTAGTTGTATTCAGTTCATCCTGATGATTTATGTACAAATGTATATATGTACATTTATATATATATATACACACACACACACACCCCCACACACACCCACACACACACACATATAAATACAGGTTTCACTCTTCAATGATAACTCTCAATTTGGTGAGGTTCTGCTGTTTTCATGTTAATAGTTACTGTGGAAGACTTTACTGGTGCTTTCCATACTTCCTGTTTTCCTTTCTTGCTACATACCTCCTTGAAACTATGTGTGACAAAGTGACTGGCTTTGGGCAATAAAATGTGAATGAAGCACTTCGGAATGGAAGCACATAAAAACTAGTGCAGTTTCCTCATTCACTTATTTCTTGCCATGATAAACCATAAAACCTTGTACTGCACTGGTGGCATTATTATAATACGCCCATTTCTGAACCTGGGTCGAACATAAAGAATGCATGAGAAATGAGCCTTTGTAATTTTAAGGTTGAGATTTTGAGGGTTTTATAAAGACAACATAACTTAGCCTATTCAGACCATTATAGCAAATAAATTTATCTCTGAATTTATTGAACTTTCTTGTCTATATAACCCCAATCCCTTCAACTGCTAGTTCATTCAATTGAAAG